ATAGGTAACAATGATGTGATTTAATGTAACATGATATATTTACGCTTCATATAACTTTTAATAAGTCTTTTATTTAATATTAAATTAATACTTTAAAATAACATGTCTAATTATTTTAATATGTACATTAACCTGTGTTATTTTCCATGTCCAGCCACCATTTATTACATATTTTATAATATCTTATTATTTTAATATACAATTTAAAATAATACTTTTAAAAATATAAATATTTATACAATTTGTAATTTAATATTATGCAATACATTCTTCTCTTAGTTTGTTTAACTTTAGTTGTAAATGATCAAGTTCTATTTGCATTGGTTTACAAAAGTCTTTACTTCTCAAGAGAACACTAGAAGCTGTATTCAATAATACTGGATTAATGGAACTGGGAGATGGAATGTCTACAAAAATGGAACTAGTAATGCTAATATCACCATATCCTTCATCAATACTTTCTTCTGAAGTTTTTGTTAGTGCCTTCAATTGATCTTTTAAATCCTACAAAAACAAAAATACTCTTTATTATCATATAATACTTAATGACATACATATGTATATATAGAAAATTATTAATATTACTTTATTTCTCATTAAAACCTGCTTTAGACACTCGCGCAAGGAAATTTCAGTTTTATTTTTCTAAAACAAAATAACAATGTAATTGCTACAAGTAAATTTTAATTTTAAAATATTAATAGGGTAACATTTATTACCATATCATCTAATCGTCCTTTCATTTCCACGCCATATAACTTATTTTCCAAATTTTTGAATTTACGTTTCTCTTGTCGAAGTTTCCTAATAAGTGCACAGTTAGCTTCATACGATAAACTTTTTAACCGCTTATTCTCATTTATCACGTCTTGCATCGAATTTAATTTTTCTTCTGCTTCTATGTTTTTTGATTTCAGAAGTTTATATTGTGCAATCATTTTTGTTAATTGCAGTCGTAACTGAAAAATTGCATCTTCTATCTGACTTTGTTCCTGCTTAGAAGAAAGGAGAGTAGTTTGCAACGTTTCATTTTCAGATTTCAATTTGTGAATTTCAAATTCAGTTTTGCGCAATGTATCAGCAGTTTGATTTTTTTCAGTTTCACATTTCTGAATATTGTCTTCCATAGATGAAATTAATAGACGTTGTTTAGTCAATGCATTTTCCATTAGCATTTTAGACACTTCATTGCCTAAAAGACGTTTTTCTAAAGTTTTTAATTCTGCTTTAGTTTCTCGTAGTTCATCCTCTGTCAATTCTAATTTTGTAGATATATCCGGAGGAGTACATAATACATTATTATCCGTAGTTTTCGCAATGCTGTTTGAATGATTCTGTGTTTTTAAGCTCTGCACTTCATATTCCAAACCTTGTTTCTCCTTCTGATGTTTTTGAAGAAGATCAGTATAATTCACATTTAATTGTTTATACCTTGTATTTATATTTATTATAGTTTGTTGTCTCTGTTGTAATATTCCTTGGTAAGTGTCAATTTCCAACTGCAAAGTTTTTTTGCTTGCTTGTAAATTATGCACTTGAGATTGATACCATTTCGTAGATACTTCAGCTGCTTCTAAACGATTATATGTATCAGTTAGAGTGTTCTGTAATTTTTGCTTTTCCTGAAGTACCGATTGCATTTCTACGTACAGCTCTATAATTTTTCCTTTAAGTCCTTCATTTGCTGCAATTCTGGCATTAAGTTCAATACGTAGATTGTCTAAATCAACTCTAAGCCGTTCATTTTCTAATTCCAATAATGCAACACGTTTTGATAATTCTGTATTAGATACGTCGGGTGTTGATAAATGCCTAATACGAAATTCATCCGTTATTAATTGCAAAGAATCCGTTGATGTAAAAGAATCTACATCCCCTTTAAATGAATCAGATAGGTTGTCCATTATTTCGAATTATGTATATAAAATTGTGATATATGTGATCAACAAAAAATTTCCATAAACTTTCTGTTTCTTAATTGCACCATGTTATTGTTAATTACAGGTAAAAATTGATCGCTACCATAAAATGCTAAATAATATCAATTCATTTTTAGCACCAATTGTACTTATGTGTTTTTCATTTTCATGAAATGCATTTGCTATACGTACTGCATTTTTCAAAATGCTTCAAATCTTTTCAATGTAATCACATTAAAAAATATTAAGCAAGATTACAATGAACATATGTTAAGCACAAGCAAAATGAACACCTATATAGTTGCTTATATGTCACTTGTCATTATGCATTCGTTTGCCTTTAGAATGTCAATATATTAACTTTCTCGTCTGTTAAGTGTAGATCTCAGATTTCTTACGCATTTGTGAAAGAGGCATAACTATTATGGGAAGTTCCATGGCGGTAAATATTGTACTTTGAAAACCGCTGAAACGGAGAACGATATTAAAGCCAAAACCAAAACGATATTACCAATTACACGAAACTCTATTTATTGTTTCACTGATAATCAATATACAATTGTATCATACCGATTATAAGCGGAAACCAGTACTTAAGTAACATATCGATCACCCGATTGGAAACACCAGGAATACTATTTACATATCACACCATACATGGCGCCAGCATCGCGTTAGATACAAGTTTAACAGGGACGATGATCTCAGTAGCGCGCATGGTTGTTCGATGTCTTTGGATTAAGGGTGGGTCTGTTCCTTTTGCGGGAGGGGTCGTATAAACGAATACAAGTGGAAAAAAATTAAAAAAAAATAAAACAGTATTCACATAGAATTAGTTTGCACGTTGTTCGAACTCGAGGAGGTTGATGTAGTGCGCAAAAGTGGCGACATTGTATCTTTGTGTCTAGTGCTTATTGACAGCGCAGCGGTGGATAAAAGCTATTACTGGATGGAGTTCTCTACGACTCGTGCTGTCTTTCCCTAATTTCTACTTCCCCCCTTCATTCGACCCGATTCCCCATAAAGATTCAATCCCCTATACATACGCTCTAGTCGTTCTCGTTCATGGCTGCGGCCTGGGGTGGGGGAAAACAAGCTGTATAACGACGTAAAATTTCGAAGCTTGTATGCGGAAATATGTCAAGTTTAAAAATCGGTAAGTTAGTGTTCACTTAATCCTTTAAACGATAAAACAATAAGTAATCATACTCAATGGATAATGAAACGAGCGGCTAAATTGACTCGCGTTAGTCGTTATCCCCTTGCATTCAACACGCTTCTTACTCTGCTTTCATAGTATGGTAGGCAGTAAGGCAGTGAACGTACTCTATATACACGTACTTCGAAAGTCACTGATTCTTATTTAAGGTTTGCGCGAAAGGGATCAGGGAATAATTATTTGATTTTTATCTACGCATTGTACACTACACTGTGTAAATATCTTACGGTACGCGATACATTCGCGTGTTTCATTCGAAATAGTCGCGTATGACATTTACCGAATTTTATAGAGTATAAGTTGTAGTTAAAACGGCACAATGTGTGTAGAACTATTTCTTATTTTCTTGTATTAGCTTTTGCGGTATTTCTATGAGTTTAGTAGACAGTTGAATGGTATTTGCGATTGCCTGTTTCACAGATGTTTTTGTTTTTCACGATTTTACTCACTGCAGTTATTGTTTGGAAAATGCTGTGAGGATTTATTTACGATTTCAATGATTTCATTTGTAGTTTAACGCTCAATGCATTCCTAAAGTATTCTTATTTAATGATATAAATTTTTCCATATTAGTATATTTTTTGTTATTTACATCTGTTTGAATAGTATAGTTTACAATTTATATGATTTTCATATGCATTCTATTGGTTAAAATACATTTGGCATTTTATATATATATTTATATTTGTATACTTTCTATTTGCATTTTATATTACTTTCCGTTTAAATTGCAATTATTAAATGTAACCACCTATTTTGGTAATTAGCTTCTTTTCATTTCAATTTCAATCATCAATGTAATTTCATTCATATATTTGATGGAACTCGTGGTTTATTTCTCTCGAGTTCATTATTGTTTCTAGATTACACTATTCAATTTCTATGTTAAAAAATTTCATTTGCAAAGATTTTCATGTGATATATTTATGTATGTAATTGAAATAAATATTGTGATTTTCTTAAAACCTAATCAAATGAGTCATTAAATGAACCACTTGTTATATATAAGCTATTACAAGCACTTATTCTTAAAAATTAGTTTATTGCTTTTAGAATTATAATTAATAGTTTAGATATCTCGATAATTAATTTCTGTCAACTTAGCTATTTTCTGAAAATCCTTAACTCTCATTATTAAGACAGAAAGAGAGAAAATCAGATCCAGATCTGTTCATAAACAGTTGACGTTTAATATTTTAGGACATTATCATCTGGTACTCTATATAATTTAAAAAATTTACTTTTATATTTGTATGTATCATGCAAGTTTTTAAGTAATGTAAAAATTATTGCACCTCTAATAAAATTTATTGATAATAGTTTAATAATGTCAATTATAAAATAAATTAAATAACTATATTATTTTCATAATATAAATAATTAATGTTAGATAATTTACCTTATTCAAAGGAGTTATAAATATTTAATTTACTAATCTTTTGAAGACTAAAATATATACACTGCAAATCGAAAGTACCAGATCTAGGATTGTGATTAACAAACAAGAGTAATATTATTTTCTATAACATAATAAAATTTGTTTCCTATTAGTGCGCAAATTTTTAAAAAATTTTTGTTCCGTTTTATACAAGTTTTGTTAAATTTGTTCCATTTTAATATATAAGCTTTATTATAGCTTAACAAATTTTCTTTATTGACACTATTACCTTAACACTTAAAACAATAGTTTCTGCCAACTTTGCCCATATAATGCTGTTCACTTATAAATAAAGTTTCCATTTATTCAGTTTATGACAAATTGTATAATTATATATGCTAATATCGATATTTCTCATTAAGAAATATTAATATACTTTTATGGTATATTATTATTGACTTGATACATTTTTTTCTACAATTATGCAGTTAAATATAAACAAACAAAATAAAATCAGGAAAGAATATGATAGTGTTCGTTTTTAATATTATGATATATTTAAGTGTTTAGTGTTATAGTATCTATTATATCATGTTAATGATTGTTATTTCATTTTCCCTAAAGTGTTGGTAATGCATATGCTTGCCCTACCCTTGAGAACGATGGACTCTGAGCAAAGAAATCAGCAGGTGTATCAACACTAAACAAAAAGCTAAAGAATGAATGCCTGCTGCACTCACGCCGCCGACACAGTACAAGCAGACTTAAGATTTGTGCAAGTAGCGTGTGAGTAGCAGCTACTCACGCCCCACTCAGACATATATATCTGTTTTCGCACATGGCAGCCATGAAGCATGGTACGTTTTATTCTCGTATGCTTTGCTTTGTATGTTAATTTGTTTCAATAGCTATTTCTGTATATTTTGTCAGGCGAGAATAGTTTATTAATGTATCTTTGTGACAAAGCGTTATGTACCCTTGAATACCTATTTTATATAAATTTCAAAACGTATACCATCGAATTGCCATGAAAGAATTTAATAATTATAAATGTTGAGTTTTTATAATAGTCATATATGTTTTTGCATTCCGTGTTTCATATATTTAAAATTTAATTTAATTTAATTATAGTTTACGATAGACATGAAACTGTTATGTACAATATCTTAAATAAATTTTTAATCGATATGTCTTTCTTCAAAACAAATTATTTGAATACACATCCTTTTACATGTAACGTTAATAAGATAAGTATATGTTATGAAATATATATTCAGAACAGTGTAGAAGAGGTAATAAATATAGGAGCATAAATTTTAGGAACATTTTCTACTTTCAAGATTGAAGTAAGGTCATGAAAATCTAAGTCCAATAATGCTTTCTCCCTAAGAGGCGAATACTTTGTTTGTGATGGTGTTTGACAAAAAACCTATTGAATAAATATATATTATATTTGAATTTATAATTTTAAATATTATTACTGTGTTCTGTATTTAACATATTACATATATATGGAATATGTATTTATTTATAACATTCTGCATTCAACAAGCCATAAGTTGTTGATAAAAGACGTGCATAGCTATGGAAGAAAATAACATCCTGTAATTTCTTTAACAAAGCGAGTAAACTAGAAGTGTTTATATCTTAAGCAGGAAGTATTTCTGAACCTATGTTTGTATGACCTTTCCGATTACTTTTCCATGTGTAGAATATACTTCTAAGTTTCATGCGCTTAAATCTATTATATTCTACATGAACATATTATGTAAAACATTTCAGAGGAATAATTTATTTCTCTTTACAATCTTAATTAAACTATAAATCTTTTAGTAATATAATTTGTTGCTGTTCTATAACATAATTGAAATTATTTGTTCTCTTTGTTCATGTAATTATGGTTATTAATTTATTTGACTGTAATTGTAACAGTTCATGTCGCCTGTGTATTGTATTGTATTGTAATAAATAGGTAATACAGTAGATTTTGTCTCGTTTTCAATTTGGAATTGTACTAAATTTTTTTTTTGTCAGTTCATAGATTTTCAATTTATTTTCCTAGAATTTGAATTTAAATGTTATCTAGCATAATAAATTAAAATTTGAAAATATTATTATTTTAAAATTGTAACATTTATTAAAAATTATAACTTGATATATTTAAAAACCTGTTATTAAATTACTAGTATTTTCACAATACAATATTTCAGAAAAAAATGTGATTATAAATCATTTTCAGGCAAGACAAGTCAAGACGACGTGTGTTATGTTGTCGCTAAATATGACTATGGAGCACAAGGTGCTCAGGAGTTAGACTTACGTAAGAACGAACGTTACTTGTTACTTGATGATTCCAAACATTGGTGGAGAGTACAAAGTGCAAGAGGTCAAGCTGGCTATGTGCCAAGTAATTATGTCAAAAAAGAAAAACCATCCCTTTTCGATAGTATCAAAAAGAAAGTCAAAAAGGGCTCCGGTTCTAAAACTTTACCATCTAGTAATTCACCATCCAGAGCTGTAGAATCTCCAATTATGGCAAGGCGTCTGCCTGCTGATCCAAGCGAAGCAATAGGTACAGCAGTTGTCAAATACAATTATCAAGCGCAACAAGCAGATGAACTATCACTTGTCAAAGGCACTAGAATTCTAATATTAGAAAAGAGTAATGATGGATGGTGGAGAGGTCAAAGTGGTACTCATGCGGGTTGGTTTCCATCAAATTATACCCAAGAAGAAGGAGACGCGGATGATACTCTTCACACATATGCAATGGCGGAAAATGTTCTTGATATTGTTGTGGCCCTTTATTCATTTTCCTCCAACAATGATCAAGAATTATCCTTTGAAAAAGGCGATCGTTTAGAAATCCTTGATCGTCCACCAGCGGATCCTGAATGGTATAAAGCAAGAAATAGTCAAGGGCAAATAGGTCTTGTACCACGCAATTATCTCCAAGAACTCAGTGAATATTTGACGCAACCATATCGTGAACGAGGAATGACAAGTAATGAGATTAGTACAGGTGATTCTCTCGAGAGAAGGCCAGACCCTGGTGATAGACCACATCTTGTTGGAAAGCCTTGGTACTATGGTAGCATTTCACGCTCACAGTGTGATACACTGTTGAATCAACATGGTCATGATGGCGACTTTTTAATTAGAGATAGCGAAACTAATGTAAGTATTAGATTTAGTATTACATTTCATTTATGTAGACAGTTAGATAACAATTAATTGCTTCAATTTAATTTAGTTGTGTATATTCAATAAGTAAACAGTAAACTGATATATACGTATGTAGTTGATCTAATTTTGAACATTATATTTTCCAGGTGGGAGATTATTCAGTATCTTTAAAAGCTCCAGGACGTAATAAGCATTTTAGGGTACACGTGGAAGGAGCATTATATTGTATTGGTCAAAGAAAATTCCATACGCTAGATCAGTTGGTAGACCATTATCAACGAGCGCCTATTTATACTAACAAGCAGGGTGAAAAGTTATACTTGGTGCGCCCATTGCCAAAAGGCAACCCCAGTAGTAATGGTTGCTAGGTGAATTCGTGCCATGAAACGGTCCATGCGCTTTGAAATGTATCTTTAAGATACTTGACGCCTGCCTAGTAATATCAATATCACACATCTCGTATGTTTATACATAACAATTAACATAATTGGTGAACTCATATATTAGTGTTTCTTGATTGTTTGTCCATTTACACTGATAAATAATTTATTACTCTAAGTAATTGCTACCAGCAATTCTTACCATTCATTGGAGCTTCCAAACTATTTAGCAAACAAAACTACAAAGTTAAGAAAGACGAATGAAACATTTGTACGGCAGCTATATGACATTTGACTAGTGACACATACACATACACACACACACAAGGCTTCTCTTTATATCCATATGTAATTGTAAAACACAACCGACCATGTTATTACGATTAATAATATATTTACAACTACACATAATGTAGACTGCAAGTGTAATGATGAAATAATGGTTAATTATTATGCAATTATGACCGATTAAGTGGATCTCTACTCTAAATCTATTGGTATTGAATTATGACAAAGACTAAGTGTTCATTTGTGATTTTGTATTTATTAGAAATTTTTAAGTAAATAAACTGTA